GTTAAAATTTTATTATAAAAATTAATTTTAAAAAAATTACGCAGACAAATTTGCCTGTGTTACAATCTAAGGGATAGTTACAACTATTTGCAAATGATAGAGTAGAAAAATCTATAAATAAAGAATTCATTAATGTGAAAATTTTTTATGAAAAAGTCTAGAACATGACATGTACTGTGATAAATAAATATATATTGTATCAAAATAATAAATTCATTTATTTGATTAAGAATTATTTAGAACAGGTTTGTGCTAAAGAAAATGAGTTGGTCACAATGCAAGAGACATCAATACAAACTCTAGCTAAAGATAACATATTAGAATTTGCAAATCCTTATAAGGTAGTTGGCAAAGGAAAATCTAAAAGAACAAGTCAAAGTAAAAATATGTCACAAGAAACAAGCAGCAAGAAAAAATATAAATATAATTGCAGATTTTGCAAAGAACCTGATCATAATATTGCAACTTGCCCACATAGAATATAAAAGATTAGTTTATTCTATGTATATTTGCATGTTAGTATGCTATATGTTTGCATGTTTGTATACTATATGTTTGCATATTTGTATGCTATATGTTTGCATATTTGTATTTTTGTGTGTATATAAGTATGTATTGTTCGTTTGCATATTGTAAATTTGCATAATTTGCTTGCTTTATTTCATGTATACATGTATGTATGTATATAGATTTTTTTTTTAAATGTATATTATGCTTGTTTATAATATTTTAATACAAATAATATAAATAAAATACTAGCCTTGTTATTGTTCAATTAACTTGAATATATATTCTTAAAATATATAAATTTGAAGTAATAGTTTTAAATTAAGTTATTCTTTAATATACAGTATTCATATCAATTTAGTCTATCTGCTAATAATTTGCCTATTGTTTTGAATTGCAGTTATATACTAAATATTAAATATTAAATTCTAGAACTTTAAAGTTTGAACTTCATAATTACTAAAATTGATTATTGGTTGAGTTAGTTTTAGGTTTGTTCTTTTTCATATTAGAAACTATTAAAAAAGGTAAACTTTGGTTTAAAAAATACTTTTTTTTATAATAGTATATACTATTTAATAGTTAAAGTTAGGATGAAGCTGGTATTATTCTTTTTTGTGTTAGGGTTATTAGAAAAAGTAACTTTGGTTTGAAAATGTTTTTTTATACAAACCATGCATACCATTATAATTTTATGTCTGTATAGAATTTTTATGTATATACATATACAATTTTTCACAGATTAGTATATATATGTTTGTTATATAACAGTTAATAAGCTATAAGCATATGACTGTAGCAGGTGCTAATTGGTGACTTATAGATCGATATTATGAGTAGGTCTCCAGACATGTACAGGTCATATGACTTTTTATATACGTAACTTTAGAATAGGTATATTAACTCCTGACAGGGTTTTAAATTTATAATAAAATATATGCAAATTTATATAATCTGTATATGTTTATAGACTATCTGTGATATTATTGGGTAATGTAATTTATATAATAATACTTGTTTTATATAACAGATGCACCATAATGCAGATGCAAAATCCTTTAAATTTTTGAAAAAATATCTTAAGTAAATAAATTTAAATACTTATATAAAAGTTGTATAATAGGTTTTTCTGATTTTAATAATAGTAAAATTATTAAAATTAAATAAAAACTCATCAAGATATGAATTTTAAAATATTAGTTTATAAAACTATATAATAAAATTAACTTATAAATTTATATAAATTATCAATCAAATTATACAATTTTGTGCTATTTAGATGTTACTTGCAGTTAGAACTAACTATTAAATCACTATACTCTTGTAAAGTTTATTAGGACTTCAATACCTTTTTTTTCTAATTTTTACCTTTTACTTCTGAACCTACAAGACCTACAAGACTTCACAAACTACAATCCAGATGACCCAGTATGGTATCCTAAGATCTATTTCTCTGGCAAACCTAGCAGCCTAATTAGTATATGCTTCTCTATACATGTTGTTGTTCAATTCATCCTAGTAATTTTAATAATTCTTTTTTAAGGCTTTCTAATAATTCAATAGTATTGTCAAAAGTTCATGCTACCTCTTTACTCAGAATTTCTAAGTGGGTTTCTGACTCTTCAGTTCCTTTGCTTTCTGTGCCTAGTGGTCTTATTGTGAGTTTGCACTGAAGTCTTATGCAACATTAGTTATTGATATTCTTCTATATAGGTATAACATTACACTTTGCATAAATGCCCCAAGCTCCCATTTAAGATAGTGCAACAAAAGTTACAAATATACTAATTCAACTAATTGACAGAGACAGTTACCATAATACAGACTTATTTTTCAAAATTTGTTGTCTATAGAATTTGAACTTTAGGCCTGCCACTTGGAGGTTGACAACCTGACTACTTTATTAAGTCATCATACCCCTATTTTATAAATAATTAATACTTTTAGTTTTAAACAAATCTTATAAATATTAGTATTTGGAGTGTAGTAACCTAGTGAAGTGGATAGGTTGTTAATCTTCAAGTGGCAGATCTAGAGTTCAAATCCCAGTGATAGCGAAAATTTGCAATTCTTTCTGTATTATGACTAACTGTCTTCCATGATTGGTTGGGATAAGATATCTGTAACTTATATTATACCAGTATGACTAGAAAGTCTAGGCACTTGTACAATATTGTACGAGGAAACACAAACCGGTACTAAGCAGTATGAACCCAAAATAAGTCCTTAGGCTGTGTAAATCAAGAGAACCAGGTAGGAAGATGGAAGCCCACTTGGAAGACCTGAGTAGAGAGATAACCTGAACCTTCAACAGTGCTACTGTAAAGACTAGACTTATGAAATGGAGCTAGAACTTGTGAAACCAGGCAAATGTACTAGTCTTTGAGGAGGGACCAGATGAACCAACCAGGCCACCAGAATT